AAAAAAAACGAACCAACATTTCAAGCTCTGTCTCACATTTGTGGTATAGAGTTTTATCGTAAGTGATTAAGATTTCCATTGAGGGGAAGGGAGTGACTGACGGGGACCTGCTACAATTTGAATCAAAAATTTCTGCATTCTTGCATACTCAAGACTTTTTGTGTTAATGCAGACCATGCAGGGAGTAGAAATATGCTTTGTCATGACTCAACATAGATTTATCGGCTTTGTTCCGAATCTGGATCTCAAAAGCAGATGAATTATTATCTAAAAAATGGAGATCTCGACCAGTCCATCGCATATAAATTGCTTTTCCGAAATATTTGTAACGTCGAATAACTTCTGCCCTCTGGACTTCACCAAATTCTGAATATGGTACGAGTTTCATAGATTTATATAACACATGATTACTGTTGAGTATGTGCAGCTTTACCATCTTTTCCTCCTTGCCTTCGTCTGCATAATACTAGGGAATGCTGAGCACCATCAGGTAGGCAATACTTCTAAAGAGCATATTACCAAAAGTGAGAATCGCTCACCTCTTAAGGGCGGTAATGTTGGAAGTGGGCATCCTCCCATGGTTGGACCGGGAATGGGTCCTGGTAACGGCCACGGTGGACCAAATGGGCATATGGGAGGACCAAGCTGGCCAATGGGAGGACCGAACAGTGGCAAAGAGCCAAATGGAGATTTTCCTCATATGAATGGACAAGGAGGACCAGGATTTGGGCTAAATGGCGGAGCAAGGCATTGAAAAGATGATCTGTTCAAGCATTGGATACTCGGATCTTTGCATGTAATGAATATGGAAATAAAAACTAAATTTTCCAGTTAACTAGTTTTTCTAGTTTTTCTAGTTCACAAGTAATTTTATCAAGAAGGAAGAATGGTAATTTCGGCAACATTTATCTACTGATGCAAGAATCCCTAACATAAAACGAGACTAAGATTTTTCTGCCCACTTGTCGTTTTAGCAGAGAAAACTCAATCCCTTCCAGGTTTCTGTCATTTGTTTCTCGCATCTGGATTTGAAATGACTACTAACTAAAGGTCTAGTTTTTTCCATAAATATAATCATCGACACAAATAATTGAATTTCAAGTTTAGTTTAATAAGATTATTAATGACGGAAGCTGTGATTTGATTTTTTACAAACAGCTTGTAGATTACTTTGGTTTGCCCAGAGAAATCGTGCAATCTTTTTGCCAAATTTGAAGTATAAGTTTGATTGCCAACACTGCACCAAAGTTGCGCCACTGTAAATTGGTGCTATGTCGGTTAAGTACTGGGACATCTTCGTGATAAAGAGAATGTAATTGTAACTTTTATACATCTGCACACATAAATAACAAATTTGAACATACTTCTTCTCAACATACAAACCAACAATTTTATTAAATCTGACAAAATTAACCATTAGTGACTACTGGGGCTCCAGGAAGTCCAGGGAGCCCAGGAAGACCAGCTGGTGGAGTGTTTGCTCCGGGTAGTCCAGGCGCAGGTGGTGCTCCGGGCAGTCCGGGTTGA